ATTATATTACATATATATATTAGTATTAAAGTCTCATCGTAATTATTTTAATCCAAAAGTTAATTTTTATGATTAATTATTTATTTTAATGAATGGGATATTAATAGAAACCATTTGTACTTAATTTAAATAAGGAAAAAATTTAGAAAACTAAAAGGTCTGTTCCATTTTGAATTATTAGACTTGAACTTCTTTTCATTGAATAAGTTGTTGCAGTTTTTTTAAATAATTAAATAATTGAACTTTTTAGAAATTCGATACTTAAATTATTTTAACAAAAAAAAAACTACTTAGTTCATTTATATTCTAATAAATTTCATAAAAATATATATATTTAAAAATTAATATGATATTGAGTTTTTAAAAATACATTCCAAATATTATGAAAATAATATGAATTACTGAAAAATATTAATAACAGTCGGCATCAGATATTGGTGGATAATGATTGTAGTTAATAAATTTTTGATTTTGTTTATAACATGAAACATTAAGTATTTATGTATCAGTAAAAGAGTTTCAATCAATTTTACAAAAGGTAAATATTATTTCCATTAATTGACACCATATAATTATACTGATTCTTAATTTCATCTGGTAAAATTTTAATATCCATATGAACAATTAGTTGTAATATTGAAAAACTGACTTAGAAATATTATAGTTTACAAAAAAAAATGACAGATTTATACAAAAAATATGGAATGTAAATGCAAAAATAACCATGTTATCTGACATTTATTTGTGAGAAATGCTTGTTCTTATAGATAATTTCGTATAAAATTTTAAAGTATAGTGTAAATGTGTAGATATTGGTCAACTAAACTTTTGTAGCAGATAACTATCAAAACTCTGTTTTCAGTAAAAAAAAGAGACAATTCAGAAAGTAAAATCCTTAACATTTAAGGAAAAAAGTATAAAAAAGTAATAAAAAAAGCATGATGCATAAAATAAGGGAAATTATATGGTTTTGCCTCATCTTTGTATCCCTATATAAAGAGTATTCATGTCATAATGCATCCACACAGTCAGTTAAGATAATAACAGATAGAAAAACTTTGAAGGAAAATGAGGCAAGAGACAGTTGTTGTGATAGTGGGAGCAGGACCAGCAGGACTTGCAACATCTGCATGTCTGAATGTTCTCTCTATCCCAAATATCGTTTTGGAGAGGGAAGACTGTTATGCCTCTTTATGGCAAAAGAAAGCTTATGATCGTTTAAAGCTTCATTTAGCCAAGAGTTTCTGTGAGCTGCCTCACATGCCGTATCCCGTATCTACACCCACATTTGTGCCTAAAAACATGTTTGTTAAGTATTTACATAACTATGTTGACAAATTTGAGATAGAGCCATTGTACCAACGTAGTGTCGAGAATGCGTGGTATGATGAGAATGAAAGAAAATGGGTCGTTAAAGCGAAAAATGGGGTTTCGGGTTTGGTGGAAGAGTATGTTGGGGAGTTTCTTGTGGCGGCAACAGGTGAAAACAGTGAAGGATATATTCCTAGGGTTTATGGTTTAGATAACTTCAAAGGGTCGGTCATGCATTCTATTCAATACGAAAATGGAAAGAAATTCAACGGCAAAAATGTGCTTGTTGTTGGCTCTGGAAATTCCGGCATGGAAATTGCATACGATTTGTACAACTGGGGTGCCCAAACATCTATCGTCATTCGCAGCCCTGTAAGTTGCTTCCCCTTTCTTTATCTTTCCCAGTATTTGAATTTGCATACTCGAAATATTTGAAATCGGAGTTAAAAGTGCATTTGGTATATTTTAAACCATGTTTTTGTTGTGATAGGTACATGTGTTTACAAAGGAGATAGTGCAACTCGGAATGTATTTATTACAATACCTACCATGTAGTATCGTGGACAGCATTGTTTTAATGTGTGGGAAGTTGTTGTATGGAGATCTTTCTGAATATGGGATACAGAGGCCGGTCAAAGGGCCATTTCGCATCAAACAGGAACTTGGACGGTCACCGGTTATTGATGTTGGAACAATTGGAAGGATCAAAACAAGAGATATTCAGGTAAAATTCGCCATCTTATTTCAACACCAGTTAAAAATTTTAAGCAAAGATTAACGTTTTGAGATATGTTTTGTTTTGTGTGTCACAAGGTAATGACGACCATTGAAGACATAGATGAAAATCAGATCAAGTTCACGGACGGTACAGAGAAACACTTTGATGCTATTGTCTTTGCAACTGGTTTTAGGAGCACGGTGCGAAAATGGCTCAAGGTAATTTAACTTACCGCATTTAAATTTTTCTTAGGCTTTTGTGTATTTTAATCCAGTCTAAAGAGTTTTTATGTAAACCAGGACGACGGAGGGTTGTTTAACGAAAAAGGAATGCCGATGCATAAAAGCCCAAATCATTGGAAAGGGGACCATGGCCTTTACTGTGTTGGATTTGCAAGTGCCGGATTGTTTGGTATTTCAAATGATGCTAAGAATATTGCTGATGATATATTTCGGATTGTTCGTGGGAATTAAGTTCGTATGAAGAAAAACATGGTGTTCCAGATGCAGTTTCATAAGTCAGTGTAACCGATTAGATAAAGTTATGATACGAAGTTTAATCATATATGAAGTTATAATACAAAGTTTAATTAAGTATACGAGTTTAATGAAGTTATGATATAAATCATGGTGTGAGCTTAGTCCTTAAACAATTTATTTTGTCATGAATTTATCCTTCATAAAAGCTTTTGTACCGCTCAAATTGGTTGAATCAAGTCAAATCTGACCGTTTTTTACGGTTTGAGTGGTCTGACGGTCTGATTTTGTTTGAAAAATAGCCAAACCGGGCGGCCTGGCTCTGTCTGGTTTGTGGGTCTGGAATTTTTTTGGACGATTTAGATCAAACCGACTGCCAAATGCATACATACATACATATGCGTATATATATACACACACATACATACACACACACACACACACACATATATATATATATATATATATATATATATATATATATGGGCCTAATCAAATGAGAACTAATTAGTTTGTGGTAACTGTGAGAAACCAATATTAACCACAAAATCAATAGATAAATTAGGAAATTTATAATTTTGRCAATTTTGAATTAAAATATTAATGCAAGGATATTTTTGGTATTTTAAAACTTTCCTCCCTCCT